CTACGTACACTCGTTGCTCAATACAGTTTGTTACTTCGATTGACTATGATTCTGGACGGGAATAAATTAGATTGATATTACATTATACTAATTAGAACTTAGCGTTCCGTTTGAAACTAGCTTTTTGAACATCTTTCCTTAGGTCACTTTATCTTATGTCTATACACGAATTCTTATATTTTCCTTTGACTTCAAAGAATTCAAGGCATTAAGAGTTAAAATTTAAAAGACATTACAAGGCCACACGTTCAAGTTTAAGCTAATTTATTGAATGAAATAAGAGAAGCAGATATTAAATTTTGTCATTGTAAAAAAATTCAAATCGAAGTAATTCAACGTAGATATTCCCTTTTAAGGACCTACTTAGTGAGTAATGAAAGTAAACACGACCAATTAAAAAATAATAATTTAAAGCTAACATTAACAGCATTCTTTGATCTCTATATCGTTTGTCTTATAATTCTATAAGTCTATACATATACAATGTAGACAAGTTATATTAAGTATTCACCCTAGTACGTTCGTGTAGTGGAAGGAACACGAAAACATAGTTGAGCAATAAGAGCCCAGAACCCGCTTCCCAGTTCCACATCAAGTTAACTAGAAGTACTCATCCGTCGGAATCGACCAAATTGAGGATGACGCGGTCGTGTGAAACGATATGATCTCACGTTTTTATGAAAACAAACGACATCAGTTGACCCCAAGACGGCCGGAGATATTGGAATCAGTGTACGGTTACTTGGTGCACTCAATTAGGTGCTTTCGAGGCTTAGGGTTACTTCGATCTTGAGCAATTGATAACTGACAAGCGAAGAGTCGATTTAAATAATACTAACGAATATTTGACTCATTCCACATTCAAATTGAGGCGACGTCAAGAAGGAGGTGATGGTTAGTTATTTGAAAGCCTTTTTTATTATAGAGGAGGATTGACAAGCACTGAGTTCACTCGATGAAGTGAAATATCCAGCCATATAAGAGACGATGATATCGACCTATTTTGGCTTTGGATATTCGGAAATGCACAGATTAAAAACTTCATCACTTCATCACGGTGGTTTGTGACTCGGACTGAATTTCGAAATTTCTACTTCCCATTTAACATCCAGACCTCCAATTTCCAGACGAAGTCCAACATGCTACAGAAAAATTATGAACTTATGAGAATCATGTTGGATACGTTGGGGATCGAACCAGTGAGCCGTTGATTGTCAGCCAAATATCGCCACCATTGCTCCAACGAGCTCGTCAAACACTTTTCACTTAGCGAATTTTTACGATGCACCTTCAAATACATTTAAGTACAATGTCGATCAATACTAAAGAATAAAATGTAATAGAACATATTGTGTATAAATCGATGGCTTTTATTTGTGTAATAGTCATGTACTCACTAAATTTTAGAGAGTTAAAGAACTAACCCACATTCTGTAGACAAAAAACTCTTAAGTACTAAATGTAGATGACTAAGTTCACAGTCTCGCTGGAGTCATAATTAGTATCATTATACTAGTGAAGTGATGTCACATTCAACAATGGGTTTGATTCACTGTTTCACTTGATTCATAAAAATTGTTACACTTTAACCTCCGATTAAAATAAGGCAGAAAAATAATAATATAATCTATTTGCTTCCTTTCTTTCTTTTCCAAAATTTCTATGTAATTGAAGTAATTGATTTAGTGTAAATAATGTTTATTTTATTTACTCAATTTAACACAATCCATAAAATTGATACAAACGAGCTTTTTCTTCCAGGCAACTTAAACTTAGTTTTTGTTTTTATATTTTAAAATTATATTTAGAAACCCGATTGAAACGTGCAATTATTATTTATATATATTTTTTATTTGTGTTACATTTTTGAAACTTATCGTCCAAAATGTATTTTTATATATGAACAATCTAGATTTAATGATAAGTTTTACAGCAAAACTTTTTGCATGAAAGTGCTCCAAATAACGCACTGTTTAACGGTTTGAAATGTGACGTCTATAAATCAAATTGTATGCTTAGCAGTAACCGAATCTAATGTATAGGTACACGCTTTTTAAATCATACAATAGTGATTTATTTAATCTGTATTCGGGTAAACAATAGACAATATTCACAATAGTCTAACTTAATGAAAATATGAATCTTCTCACTTCTTTCCAAGCTTAGCCAGGTAGAATGAGTGTACGTAAACTGCTTGATAGTAATGCTCTTTATAATCTTTTCCGGTTAAACTATTCACTAAGCCCTGTTTAGGATAATACCTAGCTCTAATCTAGTTGTAAATTTCATTGAAGTATTTATGGTAGCTTTCCGGTGAGAAGATATCATAAACAATATTATATGGGTTGCGAATTACTGTAAAAATTATGTTTTGTTTGCTTTTGTTAAACGATTGAATTTTGAGTTGTAAAAAGTCTAAACTTGGAAATACGTTCCGATTTCTCGATAATAGTTACAGCTTGAAACATTATTATTTTTTAAAAGCAACTTTTAAATAATAAAGATATGTACAGGACGGACGAGTTTCAGTTACGATAACAGAATTTCGTATTGTTCTTTTTAAAAATTAAATTGTTTTGCTTCGTCACCACGGTTGCTGCAAGGCAATCGGAACGGACCAAAGTTAAATATAAGTTAAGAAATACATTTCGAGTTTTAAACCGTTAAAGGTGTTTATTGAAATTGGTTACAGTGTTAGCTGATCAGCTAGTAATCAGCTGCAGGTAGTTTGAGGTGTAGAGTGTTTCTTACCTAGGGTTTCATTTTGATATAAATATGTAAAAATCGTTCCAAAAGGCCTACTTTATATGCCCTTATGCCCACTTTTATATCAATGTTTTTTCAGACTAGAATGGGGTTCTTTTGATTCGTTGTCTACCTATTTTCGTTTTATATATTCGAGAATACACACATTGAAACTAATTTTCCAGAAATCCAACATGATTAGAAAAATGTTTGGACCCGGTGAGGAAGCCACGACCGGTTGATTACTAGCCATATATTGCAACCATTACACCAATGAATCGGCAAAAATCATCAAAACTAGTTGCAAGTTCTCCCATCGTTCTCATATCTGTATATTTGGCTACAGTACGCCGGATTTCCCCTTATGTAATGTCGCTAGTTCAGAGTCAAGGCCCAAATGATCTAATAGACTGACCCCTAAACACAATTGGGTTTTATGGCGCTGACGATTCGCACTCCGGAATGTTTAATCCATTCATTTGGGCCGCATTCTTTGGCGATGGTTAATATAAAGTATGACAGTTTCAAATGCAGATGGATTGACATCGTTCTGATTTCAATGTACAAAATTAATATTTACCATCCTCGTTGAATGCGATAATATTTAAAATCAAATGTAGATAGTTTTTTTATGTGTCTAGGAATAAAAGAATAGAAACAAAGAATAAATACAGAAGTAGATTTTCCTTTTGCTTTGTTTGCGTTCGATCACTTAGGTTAGATCGCCATTTCTTAAGGTTAGTTGACTAAAACGATCTACAAGACATTAACTAATCTATACGTATACGTTCGTAGAGTTTCTTCGTTTGAACGCGGTAATCTCGGGAACTTGGGGTTCGAATCGAAAAATTGTTTTGTGTTGGTTGGACTATTTATAAAGGTAGGCCTTATGCTATATAACATCGGGGCCATTAGGAGCGATAAACAGTAGGAAATGTGGAAAATCTGATAAAATTATTCATCTTTGAGGGGTTCTGTTGGATTCGTTGCGAAAACAATTCAAGAAACCGAACAATCTATATATGACGGATTCATCCTAAAAATGCCAAAATGCCCAAATATAAATAAAAATAAATATTCTAAGCGGCGAAGTCACGGACCCAGCTACTCATATGGTATAGAAACGTTTGCCAGATCCGCTAGTACGTGATATTAAGGGTTTGATCTGAAAGGAACAGTGATCCCCGCGGGGGGCAGGTAATTTTATGACACGTTCTTTCCGAAAATTCTATTTCGATTTTCCTCGTCAATATGTTACCTCATCACCGCGTCTAGACATTAGTATTAATATCTCGTTTCGCGATTAGATTTCCAGTAACCCACTGAGATACGCGTGTGACTCACAGATCGGAATGACTAAACGAATGAATGAAACACTTGTGATGTACTAGGGACGTATAGCACCCATTCATGGCGGCTTAGTGGGCTGACGTGGTTCACATATTTGGAGATCAGTGGCTGTGATCGAGCTGTTTTAATGAGCCTCCGACGAGATTAGCTAGCTTTGCATAATAAGCTGTGAGTGAATAAAGTTTGCAGCCACTGTGTTTTATGAAGTTTTGAATACTTCTCCATTGTTATTGCCTTCGTAGGCACCTCAACTGTTCGTGGGCGCAGACAACGTTTATTTGCGTATACTACTAACTAGTTTACGCGAGTAGTACACGTCTACCTTTAACCGTCTTCAAATACCAACTACGACGAAACAAAAGGAGCTGGCATAGCAGTTTTTACTTAACATTATGTACCCTCTTCATCTTAAGGCTTCCATGACTTATCTGCTGAAAAGCGCCCGAAACGTCGGGTTGTTCAAATAAATTGTAAATAGTTAACGAATATAATTTGCATTTTAAACCGTTAAGCGTTTTAATACAACCTATAATAGATGTTTACATTAGTTGCCATTCCAGAGTTACATGTAACGTTAAATTTCGTTATTGCACACAAAGATTAAAAAACCTGAAGGTTTGTTTGTTTAACAAACTTTTAACTAGTATATTGGTTACTCATACACTATTTTAAGTGTTTAATAAGCTACGTAACTTAATCGGGGAAGTTTTGCCTGAAATGCTTGAGGTTTTTTCTTTGACATTTCTAAGAAAAGTCAGAACAATATGCATTATATATAAATTTGTTTTCACCGGATTTAATTGATTGCAGTGGAACGCAACTAGTAGATAATGTTAAGTTACCATTAGTTTTCTTGATGGTCTCATCTCATTTAACTTATTCGAATAAATGTTTCCTTGTTTCAGATCAAAGACAGCGTACTTCCCACAAAATGCGAAGTAAGTACATGCTTATAACATAAATCCTTGTCAAGTACATTTTAAATTATCATAACCAATTTTATTATCTACTAACAAATGTTACTCGGATAACCCTTTTTCCGGTCTGACCTTAAATTTTGATAAGTCATATCGGGCCGTTTTAAAGTGGCTTTTATTCCTCACGTCTTGTTCATATGTTCATATATTTAGTCTAGTTTGTTACTAGAGACGCTCCGTAGGGTATAAATTAATATAAAAAATATATAATTATAATATATAGAGTAGCTCACATTTAAATAAAACACTTTTAACGTTTAAAAACGCGAAATGTACAGTCGTGGGTTGGAGCTGCTGCACAGCATCCAAAACGTCAGTAAAATAATTTATAAACAAGTTTAACTAATACATTTATCTTTTGAAACTGTTAAAAGTGTTTTATTTGAATATCCTATACGTGTTGCCTAAAATAAACTTAATTTTGAAAGTACGGGAAAAATTGCGAAACGTGTCTAACTAAATAAATCTCGCATGCGATAGGCCGTACAAGGTATTTAGTTTAAAGACACGAAACACAAATTAATACTGAGATAATAAACTCGAAAAAGATAGGCGACTTCCCGAAACGGCAAAAAGTTTGATGGGTTTTTAATTTATGTGGGACACGGCCGGGAGTGACACGAAAAAAGCAATAACAACTCTAACGGCGATTGTGACGGGTTAGGCAAAAAATAACCTGTTTCCATTTTTGAGCTACTGATGTCGCTAAGTGCCTGTTATTGGGATTCTAGATGTTTCGACGATCTTCCATTCTAGTCCTTCTATAATATACTCTATCATTAGTTTTTGAAGAAGTTGGTCTTTTAAAAGTGCCTATCGTTAAAAAATTCAAAGTAAATTAAAATAATTTAAAAATCGAAAATAAAATATATTATTAGTAGGAGATCCTACACCATTCGATTTAAGTAAAATGACGGAAGAATTTAAAATTATTTTTTATAACATTCCAAATAAAAAACTATATGAAGATGCATGTTTGTTATGAGTCTGACGCCAAACGGTTAGCCCATTTTGATTAGGCACATTTTTAAATGTCTCATGTACCATACACACATTTAATTTAGTTTTCGGAAATGTTTAGTCATTATCCAGCTTACAATTCCGCGAACTTTGATCCCGAGCAAGGCATGTCTAATCAAAGTTCCCGGTGACGTCACAGCCAAATAGTCGCAAACTCCACCCCCGCTGAGTCACGTCCGGTCCGGATAATAAACCCCATTCCGGGTATTAATAAAACAATGGAATACGTCACACATGATTTGGGCATTTCGGGCGGGGGTCGCGTTGAGAGTCTAATGATGCGGGCGCCCAAATCAAATCATTAAGAGTGGAAACTTAACGGACACTTACATTTTAAAATGGCACCTCCACGTTCTTTTTTTGCAATGTTAGTAACTAACTGCGCCCGCGACTGCGGCTGCGTGGAATAGTTACTTTGGGCATCCAAATTTTTTTGCATACCTGCTCATCATAGCTGTTACTCATGACGTCATCCAAGTCCTGTCGATCTTGCGAGTTCGTCTTAAGATCAATTTTAGGAACACATCGCGGGTAATTTTTAGGATTATTTCAAACATATAGCTTCCTTGATAAATGGTCGATCCAACACAAAAAGAATATTGCAATCTCGAGATTAGCGCGTTTAATTAAAAAAACTCTTTGTAATATGAGTATACTACCATTGCTGTAAAGTATTCGAAACGTCGTTTTAAAATAAATTGTATAAAAGTTAACTAATATATTTTGCGTTAAGAACCGTTAAAAGTGTTTTATTTAAAGGTTTACTACTAGCGTGTTATTTTCAAGTTTAGATGGCCGTTATCAGAATCATTTTCTTGTTACTTGGTTCTCAATGTAAACATGTTTTCGGGTTCTTGAACCCATATTCACACCGCCTTAAATCCTACAGCCAGAACAGTGGTAGGCAGACAGATCTGACGTGGCCACATCTGCCGACCGGCGTGACCGGACGCCGGGTGCGCAGGCGCATTCCGTATGTAACTGTGGGGTAGGTTATGTTCAGACTATTGGCTAACTGGTACCTAGACAATATATGAGAACATAACCTGTTCGAAAGAACAGACATTTAAAACACTTTGCAATAAATCGGGGTTAAAGTCGCGAAAGTATTATATAAAATCAGGTTCATAAAGCTACTGAGAAAAAATATTTAAACGAGCGTGGTTCGGTTGGAATCAGCTTTTTCAAATACTGCAGTAATTCAACAAACTAATGTTATTACTGTCTATAGATTTTGTAAAAAAAAATACAATTTTCTTAACCACTTAGTACTTAGTACACTTACACTTACACTTGTCTATTAGTAGAATTTAGTTATAATCGAAAGCAAAGACATGTATCTACGATATTAAACATCTTCTTTGAAAACGCGCATATAACTATTAATCCAAAAACTTGTGTAGATCTATGAATGTACAGACATTCATCTATGTCTATAAACTGACAAATGAAGACTGTTCTTTTTTCAAAACTCCAAGAGGACAAAACCACAAATATACAAAAATAGACAATCAGACACAGAAGTGTGTCCGTTCCACTTATAAACACTGGTTTACAGACTAGCCTTGTAATACAAACAGTACATCATTAGGTGAACCACCAGGTCATAGGAACCACCTAAACCTTGACACTTATGCCATGATAATGACGTCACCGTTGTCTCAATTCAATCGGTCGCCATGGAAACCGACGCTATCCGGTCGCACTATGAGAACAGGGTCACCGCGACATGATTCATGCCAGCCCGGTACTTGATACCCGTAGCGGACCATTCGAATGCAAATTATAATAAATTGGATTTTAAACAGCTTACGAATTAAATCCACGCTTCTTAATCGTAGATATTTAATGTGAAGGTCATTAATACAAAACGTTTTAAAGGCTAATGTGTTTATTTAATTTTGACGGGTCTAATGGTAGCAAGTGTGGCTAATAACCAACGGGTCGTGGGTTCAATACCCATCGGGTCCAACATGTTTTTAATTTTTAAATTTATATTTTTTCCGAACATTGGACTTGTCTGGAATTATCGATACTAAATGGTTGGTAAGAATATAAACATTACGTCTGGGTCACGACCACCATCCACAGATGAAAAGACCGTGAAGCTTAATCGCGTTTCGGTTTCAGTCTGTGGATTTCCGAATATCCAAACCCATTGATATTGCTAGGCTGGGATATATCACCTACCATCAAGTGAATCCTATGCTCTATCTTTAAAAAATAAACAATTTTGGACGGGCATCAAACAGACTATCCTAATAAACTAAACCAGGAACTGACAGACTAAAAACAATCTGTGTTACATCTAAAAAGTTTTGTCACGGATGGGACTCGAACCCATTATGACGTTTCGTCTTATCAACCGAATGACCGCGCCTCTTTTTCAGTTCTTTTATATAAACATATCTCGTGCCATATAATTTCCTTACTTATTGTATTTTGTTTCTTTCTCGTAGTCGTACATTTGGCTTAATATATACATTTTTAGCACCTCTCCAGATCAATAGCTAAACACGTTAACCACGAGAGGTCAAATCCCGGAGACACAATTAATGGTTTTGATCATACAGGGAAGTGAAGAAGACGATCGGCTGCTTGCCTACTTGCTTGTAAATGCAAATCCATAGAATAGTCACCAGAAATAATAATAATTATTTATTTTAAAGTTACTCACAAAAATAAAATCTATGAACTTAGATTAACTTAATAAGTAAAGTAATATATATTATACAAAATATAAAAGGCTTAAAAAAAATGACTGGCAACTTCTAAAACAGGAGCCACTCAGCATAATGTTACGAACACACTTGTGTTGCAACACTGATTTTTGGCCCCAGGCGCCACCGATTCTGGAGAAACAATATGCGTTTACAATTACTCTTAAATTAAAGAAAAAATAAAAATAAATAACTTATGCGCTAATAAGCCACTCTACATCAAACACACGTACATCTAACGTGACACATTATTTTATTTTGAACACAAACAAATAAAATTAAAATTAAAAAAAAAAACTGTAACATACTGTTTTTTTTTCCTACAACTCAAACGACGCTAGAAGAAGAACCTTTTTGAATTCCCTTCTTGAATGCTCTATAAGTTTAATTTTGACAGATTTCAAACTTTCATAGGATTTTGTTGTTGGCGGCAAATTGTTTCAGCCATCGGTTGAGTTGAGTAACCTTGGAAAGCGGCAAAATCATTTATTCTGATGAATTATAACGTATTGGGCCTCTAATACTAACCGGACGTTAAGAAGAAATCAAATTTCCATCGTTTACAAGACCGATTAGTTTGACAGTTGCAAAAAGGTACCGTTGCTTTTTTGCAACAGCTTAATTGGAGGTTAAGTTGATTTCATGATTCAAAGTACATTAACGGAGTCAATTGATGTGTCAGACGAAATAATCATTGTTAATGTGTGCGGTTTTGTTTTGGTACTGACGTAATTATTCATTGGCACTTCCCTTGCAGACATGTAAAAACATAACCATAATCTTAACCGTAAAACTTGTTTTACGGTCGCTGTCCTTAATCGAAAGCAGTACTTATTTACAGTATTAATACGAATATTATAAAACGGTTTTAAACGCGAAATATATCAATAAATGTATTTTTTCTACGATCCGACATTTTAGTTGCTTGGCAGCAGCTGTGTGGGGACCGATGATGGAGATTGTCCTCAATGTCAAAGGCAAATCTGCTACGCTAGCGACATCTGTTTTGTCGTAGTTACTTTTTGGGTTTATGTGCCGCGAGTAGCACAGACAATTCTCAAAAAAATGTTTTAAAATTGGAATTGAATTTCCTTGTAGTAAAACTCGTTATGTACTTTAGTAAAGTAGTACTTTCCCTCCATACGGCATGGCCGCGGTACACTATTTATATGGACTCAAAAGGCATCGTATAAGGCACCGCATTACAATTGCAACTCAATT